CAAAGGACTTGAACCTTTAACGGGCAGCATGCCCTCAAGAAAGGTCAAGTCCTTTGCCCTGCCCTAACCAACAGCCACGTCATCCCTGGAGGATAAAGGTCAGTAGACGCAGCGCCCTGATTCGAATCGTGGCTTCTGGGATGAGGGGAAAGGCCAGCGCAGCACTTCACAGCTGCAGCAGCTGCAAACAGGACCCGACCCAGCTTTCCAACCGCAGCATGACTTCCCTGATCCCGGTCCAGCGCCTGGCCGCCTCGCTTACTCCGGCGTCCACACTCGGTCACGCGCAGGACGCTCCCACCTTTACTGCACCACCACCGCTCAGCCAAAGCGCTGACGCAATATGCACTGTTGGCGCTGTCTGCTGCTCCACGTTCTAATTCCTAGGTAACCGTTTCTGGACTACTGGGAACCTGGGAACCGCCGGTTGCTTTTGGCATATCCTCAACTAAGCTCAACGAACCAGTCAATATATATTTCCCTGTGGCCCCCTCTCCCCCGGGCCCCCTCCCCGGTGTCAGGCACAACCAGCTCAAGTTCGGCAAGTACCGCAACGCCGCCGCCTCCCTGGTCAGCTCCGTGCCCGACATCGAGGAGCTGGTGACCGTGGGGAAAACACACGGGGTGTGTCCCTTCTTCCTGGGGAGGGACGCAGGTGGGGGGGAGGGGCACGGATGAGGAGGGAGGGCGAGGGGAGTACTGCGGGAGGGGGGAGATGTGTGCGAAGTCAGGGAAGCGGGGGGAAGGAGGGGAAAGCATGGAGGAGATGGGGGGATACTGCGCCCGTGTTGAACACCTCGGAAGGGTGCTTTGGGGGCCGGAGGGAGGAAGGGCCCGGGGGCCGGGGCCGAGGGCTCGAACATGTTGAGGGTGCGCGGGGTTGAGAGGAGGGTGAGGAGCAGGATCCCGCTCTGACCTCAAGGGGCCGCGGGCTTTTGTTGCTTCCTTCTTGAGAACGAGCGGGCGTCTCACCGGCGCCTTCCTCACCCCTCCCCTTCACCTACCCGACAGTCCTCCCAAACCCCGATTGCTCTAGGCAAGGAGGCCGATATTGTGTTTTTGCCGTACAACTACCTCTTGGACCCGGCCACTCGCCGTACCATGGCGGACAGCATCAACTGGAATAATGCAGTGGTCATCTTTGACGAGGCGCACAACGTGGAGGTGAGAGAGGAAACGGGGCTAAGCGGGAGGAGGATGAGCTTCATCCCTTCAGCCATCCCCTTCAACCATCCCCTTCAACCATCCCCTTCAACCATCCCCTTCGGCCACTCCTCAAAGCCCTCCTCACTCCACGGGAGCTGATATTTGCATGATGCATTGGATCCACCCCACTCGCGTGAACTCCTTCGCATTCCCCAAAGACCTCACCACGCCTGGGTTCGCGTACCTCTGTCTAAACCCGTCTCACCCCCCACTTACCCGCACACCTCAGAGTGTGAGCAGTGACGCGTGTTCCTTCGACATCACCGCCAAACAGCTGACCGATGCCATGTTGGAGGCCAAGAGGTGGGCAGGAGGGGAGACAGCAGGGCGAAGGCAGGAGGGAAGGGAAGGCACGGAGCTAAACCCGCCTATGTACGACGGCTTCATGCACTCGTTCACGGTCGCCGCATGGTGCCCGTTTCTTGTGTGTATGTCTGTGTATTTTGTGTCTTCAGTGTTTTATTGATCTGAGCGTGATGCCATGTTTCTGTGTGTCTCTGTGCCTCTGTCTGTGTCTCTCTGTGTGTGCGTGTGTTTGTCCTCTCCCAGGTGCAAGGTGGCCTGTCTGGAGCGCATTGAGCGGGGCTCTGTGGCGCTGGTGGATGTCCCCGCACCGGGGGAGGGCCAGGGACTGGACTACCGCAGGATGGCGGCGGATGTGGACCTGCTGCTGGTGGGGAGAGGGGGGAGAGGGGGGAGAAAGGAAGGGATCTGGGGGGTGCTGTGGGGCCCGGGGGTGGGAGGTTAGCGCTTGGGGGGATTTGCGGGCTGGCTGCCTGGCAGGTTGAGAAGAGAGGAGGGTTCTGGCTGGGGGGGTGCCGGTGCTGGTATTGAGCCAGGCAAGGCGGCGGCGCGGACTGAGCCCCGGAAGAGGTGGAGCTGAAAACGGGGAGGAATTCACATCCCTCCGACCCCTCCCCTTCCCTGCCGGCCTCCGTGTTCTGGCTCAGTCCGTCCGCCATACACACACATACACACACACACACACACCGCAAATCCACGTTCCCCCACCCAGGCTGTCCTCAAGCGCCTCGAGGACGCGCTCCACTCCCTGGCCGCCAAGCTGCCACCCCCCAGTCACGGTCACGGTCACGGGGGTGGTGGTGAGAGCGGCGGGCTGACCCGTCCCGGCTCCTTCCTGTTTGAGTTTCTTGGCCAGCTAGGTATCACGGCACACAGCCTGTCGGCCCTCAACGGCGCCATCGATGCGGCTGCGGACACCCTGGCCGCGGCGGATGTTGAGGCGGGGAAAAGCAACAGCAAGGCATCCACCGTTGCGTGAGAACGGAAGGGGAGGGGATCGGGATGGGCGGTGTAAGATGTATGCGACAGTGTAGGAAGTAACGAGTGCACGGCCGGGCAGGGGAGCGGCGGTGTATGGGCGTGGTTGCGGTGTGGGTGGTATGGAAAGGAAGGAGGAGGGTGGGGAGAGGGGTTGGGGGAGACGCTGCAGAAGCGCTTGGTGAGTGCAGGGAACTAGGGGTAGGGGGGGAAGCGTGGCTCGCGAGCCAAACCCACACGTGCATCAAACACCCTCACCTCACCTCACCTCATATCGCCTCATATCGCCACATATCGCCACACAGCAGCGTCCTGGTCGCACCACAACGTTTTTCGGTTGGCTCACGTTACCCGCGGGCAAAACAGAGGGGCCCCGGCAGGGCAACGAAATGCGGCAAGGAGGGAAGGCCATAAAATTGGTGCTCCCATGTATTTGCGGCCATGTCGAACAATCTCCACACCACCACTCCTTATTGCCACCCCTCCCACCCCGCCCTGGTTCAAACCCCGCACCCCTCTAACCTCTACCCCAGTCTCCAGCACCTGCAGTCGTGCCTCAACTTGGCCTTCTCCACCCTGGAGCCCCTCACGGACAGGCCGGGAGCGCCCCCCGCACACAAGGGCTTCAGAGTGCATGTGCACATGCAGAAGTCATGGGGGGCGGACAAGCTGCCCGCACCCACGCTGTCGTACTGGTGCTTCATACCCGGAATGGCCTTCAGGTGTGTGTGTGTATGTGTGTACCCTACCCTGACAGGTTGATGGCCTTCCCCGCACTCTATCCTCAACAGCTTATCCTCCCACCTGCCACATCTATACACACGCACCCCCCCCGCCAATACGCAGGCGCCTGGCGGCTCTCCGCCTTCGTTCCTTCCTGCTGACCAGCGGCACTCTGAGCCCCATGGACAGCTTCGCCGGGGAGCTGCAGATCCCCTTCCAAGTGAGGCTGGAGAACCCGCACGTCATTGAGCCCAGCCAGGTGGGAAGGGCGGTGGGGGTGGGGGGGTGGGGGAAGGTGGTGGAAAATGGGGCCCCGAGAGCTTTTGAGGGATGGGAACAGCGGATTCAGCATTGCGCAGTCGGCGGGGCCGTGTGTCACCGACCGTGTGAACCCTGGCGGCGGTCTGTTGGAGTGTGTGATATCTTCCAGGCCCTGCCGCGAAATAGAGGAGGGCCCTGTAGCGGCCAGGGTTGGAGGGAAATGCTACCTGGGCGTGTGCTGTGACATGTGGGGCTGAAATGCTGGAACACCCTCACCACTGTAAACGCCACCACCACCACCACCACCGCGCCTCTCCACTTTCTTTCTTTGCCGTTCCCACACCTGCCTAGCAGGATTAGGAGGTCTCAGTTCCGGCTTCTCGCCAATGCCTATTTCCAAGAACCGTAAAGAACCCTACCCAATCCACTCCAACCACCCGTCCTACCCCCCCCTCCAGGTGTGGGTGGGTGTGCTGCCCACCGGCCCCAGCGGTGCCCCCCTGAACTCCACATACGCCTCCCGCGACTCGGCCACTTACAAGGACGAGTTGGGCAATGCGCTGGTCAATGTGGCCCGACTGGTGCCGGACGGCCTGTTGGTGTTCTTCGCCTCGTATGCCGCCATGGACAGCGCCATAAACCACTGGAAGCAAAACGGAGGTGAGGCGACCTATCGGGGGGGGGGGAGGAGAGGGTAGGGGAGAAGAGGAGCGAGGAAGGAGGGGGAAAGGGGGATTAGTGTGTGGGTGGGGTTGTGGAGTTGGCCGGGATAGGTAGGTACCCTAGTGACCCTGTACCGACCCGGGTTCGAATCCGGCGTGGTGCGGTTCTGAGAGGGAGATGACGGGCCCTGCGGCCGCCAGCCCATGTTATCCCAATTTAAACACCCCCCAGTCCCTGCCTGCCTGCCTGCCAACATGCCTTCCACACATCACCCGGGTTCCCATTACCCCTGCCCTGCCGGTCGTCGCCACTGTTGCACTCTTCGCCACCCGCCGCCGCGGCCGCCGTCCCATGCAGGTGCTGGCGGCGTGGGCAGTACCTGGGAGCGCATCGTACGGCATAAGGCCCCTGTGGTGGAGCCCCGGGAGTCCTCCGCCTTTGGAGCCGCCATTGAGGAGTTCCGGTCAAAACTGGACGACCCAGCCACCCAGGGTGCCGTATTCTTTGCGGTGTGCAGAGGCAAGGTGAGGCGAGGGGGCGCGAGGGGAGTAAGAGCGCCTGTGGCACCTGTGGTTGCCAGGGTGGAGGCCTCGAGGGACATCCGAGGGACACTTTGTTGGGGGTGTCGCTAGTGGGTGGGGAGCTGATGGGGGCTCGTCCGGCACGCGGGTGGGCTACCGAAGGTTTGGAAGGATAGGGCCACGAATAGGGCCACGAGCCTATCAGCCCGAAAACCCCACGCACCTCCACTTCCACTTCCTCCCCCACTGCCCGCGCACAACCCCCCCTACTACCTAAGTCAGGACTGGTCAGTTATTTACAAATATATTCCTGATGCAGTTATCTGGGTCTAGTCTAAACCTGCGGAGTATCCGCCTATCTCTCCGGGGTATCTGCTTCGATCATCACTGGTTCGCCTTACCCCCCTCCCTCACCTTACCCTTTTCCTGGTCCCCCTACATTCCCTCCCTCTCTCCCTCCCTCCCTCCCTCACACACGCACACACACATACACACGCAGGTCAGTGAGGGTCTGGACTTCAGTGACCGGGCCGGTCGCGCGGTGGTCATCACCGGCATACCGTACGCCGTGAAGAACGACCCTAAGGTAACGTCAATGTCCCTTTCGCGGGGGGGATGGGTGTCACTGAGGTGGCACGAGCCCCCAAGTCGACAACGCCGGGCGTCCATGCCCGTCCACACCTGTCCTCGTGCTAGCGGCCAGCGCCTACCTCCCGCTTGTTGTTGAGGGCATCGTCAGTGGGCAATTTGCTTGTTGCGTGTGGTTTCCCGTCCCCACCCCCACCCCGCGAGTTGACCTGTTTCTGCTTTGAATCCCTCTCCCCATTTCCCTTCGTGCTTTGTTTGCCCTTCATCGCGGCCCTGTTCCCCCCTTTTGCCGGTTGGTCGGTTGGTTGTTGGTTGTGCAGGTCCGTCTCAAGCGCGACGTGTTGGACGAGGAGGCCCGGGCCCTGTCCAGCGGTTCCAGTGCTCTGGCGGGGGAGGGGGTGGAGCCGCTGACCGGGGAGGCCTGGTACACGAACACGGTAGGGACGTGGGGCGAGTTGTGTGTGTGTGCTGGGAATAGGAGGAGGAAGGGGAGGTGGAAATGGAAGGCGGCGGGCAGTGGAAGTAATGCAAGTGCGGTAAGGTTGCTTAGTTTTCGTGCGTATCCCCGTTTGTCAGCGTGTGCTTCCTCACTACGTTTAGGCGAAGGCGTGGTGAGTGATTGACCGTTGCGAAGGCGGCTCAAAAGCCTTGCCAGCGGATGCCGCGTGCCCAGTGCGGCAGCTTGCCTTCCCATCAGGAGGGCCCCTCCCTCGCTGCTCCTTCCCCGGCCTCCCCCGCCTTCCCCCCCAGGCTATGCGCGCAGTGAACCAGGCCATGGGCCGAGTCATCCGCCACCGCTACGACTACGGGGCCATACTGCTGGCGGATGACCGCTTCAGGAACCCAAACACACAGCGCAACATGAGCCGATGGGTACGGGAACACGTGGTGGTGTACGACCGCTTTGGTACGGCATCCGCCTCGCTCACAAAGTTTTTCAAGGTGGGACAATCTCGCGGTCGGGGTTTCGGGGCGAGGGAGGTCGGAGTCAAGGATGTCAATCATGGGGGTGGGCGGGTGGACGTGATTGCCAGGTGCAGGCGGGGGTGAACATCTGACAGGTGGGGAGGAAAGAGCTTAGGAAAGAGGTGTGGGGGGTTAAGGGTTTCGCTCCCCCACCCCACAAGGTGTGGCAATAGGTGGGGGCAGGGACGCGGCAAGCAGCCTTGTGGAGCTCTGGGGATTGGGTGGTAACGGAGGGCAGGGAGAGGCGCTGGCCCCTTTTCCCACCCGCATGACCCCGCTCCTGCACCGCTCCCACCGCTCCCACCGCAGGACAAGGCCAGCTTCCAGGCTCCTGCTAGGGCGCTGCCGGGGAGAAGCACCAACATGTCGGCCTTCGAGACCGTGGCGGCGGCGGGCGTGCCGTCTGTGGTGGCGGCGGGAGCAGCGTTTGGTGGCGGCGGCGGCGGCGGTGTCCGCGGCGGTGCCGGTCAGAGCCTGCTGGAGACCGTCCCGGCCGCCATTGACGTCAGCGGCATCGGCGCCCTGGCGGCAACTGGATTGGGGGGTGCAGGAGGAGGGGCCGGTCGCGGCACCAGGAAGCCGGTAGCGGCGGGCCCGTCCGCGGGGCCTGTCGGGGGTGGCGGTGAACAGAAGCCAGCCGGCGGCCTGCTGGGGCTGCTTCGGTCGGCCCCTGCGGCAGCGGACACCGGTCCCGAGGTGCCGATGGTTCAGGTGGCGGTACCGGGAAGCAGTGGCGCAGGCGGTGTGTTAGGTAACGGCGGTGCAGGCGGCGGTAGCGCGGCTGGCGGGGACAGTGCCGCCGGTGCGGGCGCAAGCGTCGGGTTATCAGCGGCGTTGAACTGCTTGGGCAGTAGCCGCAACGGTGTGCCAGGTGCAGCTGCAGCTGCATCCGGGCGGCCACCGAACTGGCTTGGGGGAGCCGCCGCCGGCCCCGCCGCATCAGCAGCAGCACCAGGCGTGGCTGGTTCAGCTTGGCCGTCTTCTATGCGGCCTTTCACCAACGGCGGCGTTGTTCCCTCGCGCAGCATGCTGGCACTGGCGGGCGGGGTGACGGCGGCGGCGGCACCGCAGCTGGCGCCGTTAGGGGCCTGTAACGGCAGCGGCACCAGCAGCGGCGCTGGCGACGCTGGGACCTCCACCGTGGAGGTGGTGGGGCCTCAGCACAAGTTGGCGGAGCTGAGGCGGCGTGCGGCGGCGGGTGGAGGTGGCGGCAGTAGCAGTCAATGCGCGTCACAGTCTCCGGAGCGGCAGCTGGACGTGGACCCCGTGGCGGATTTGTTAAGGGAAGAGGAACGGCCGGTGAACGGTGCGGGCCGCACGGCAGGCGGCCTTACACGAATCGTGTTGCAGCCCGTGCAGCCAGCGGCTGGCGTCGCAGGCGGTGGTTGTGGCGGTAACGCCTGCGGCGGTGGAGCAGCTGGCGGGGGCCTAGGCGGCGCGGCGGCGCCGGGTGTCGCGGGCATTGCCGACGAAGGGGGAAAGCTGGAGGGCGTGGGGAGTGGTGGAGCTGATGGCGGCAGCGGGGCGGCCCGTGCGGACCCCAAGGCCTTCATGACGCAGCTCAAGACGGAGCTGAGTCCCGCGGTGTTCAAGGACTTCCAGCGCCTGATGACAGCGTACAGGTAGTGTATTTCCAACATATGGGTGCTGTGTGCGTGCGTGTGTGCATGTGTGCGTGCGTGTGTGCGTGCGTGCGCGCTCTCATCGTTTGATGCATTAAACCTGCGGCAGACCTGACCCAACCTGGGGCTCACCTTGGCTCCCTAGCGCAGGATGCGTGACTTCCGATCTGACGTAGCTCTGCTCGCGCCTACCTCCACATGGCCCGCCGTCACGTTTCCTGCTCCTGTTTGCGGAGGTTCTAAGCCTGAAGGTCATACGCCGCACACTACCCTTTCTGACCTGTCATCCTCGCCCCAGGGCCAGCAAGGACCTGAACGCTTTTGTAGATGGTGTGGTGGCACTGCTGCGCGGCCCCGCCACGTCCCACCTGCTGCGAGGAGTGGCAGCCTTCATGCCGAAGACCGAGCGGGAATGGTTCAACAATGTCATCGCGGTGCACGTGCGTGCCGCAGCTGCGGCAGCCTCGGGTGCTGACGCCGCAACGGCAACAGCTGGCCAGCCGACAGCAGCAGCAGAAGCGACTGTTGGGAAGGCGGCGGCGGCGGCGGGACTTGGAAGGCAAGCCGGTGCTAGCACTGCAACTGCCGCTGCTGGCGGCACCTCTAATAAGGCCCTGGGTAAGCGGCCCGCGCCCTCGGATGCCGCAGCAGCGGCCGCTGCAGCACCACCCGGCAAGGTGCGGCCCGGTCAGCAGCCCGGTAGCAGCGTCAATCCACAACCCCATTCGCAGGCCCGGCCGAGTGCCGGCCAGGTCCGGGCCGCATCCGCGGCAGCGATGAACACCGCACTGGCAACCACGGGCACGGACCAGCTCAGCGCGCAGTTGCTGTCACGAGCGCAGTCCCAATCCCAGTCCCAGTTGGGCGGGCGCGGTGAAGCCGCGGTAGCAGCAGCCGGCTCGCTGGGCAGCAGCCGCAGCCATCCACACGCGCACCCGGCCCAGCAGCAGCAGCAGCACCCGCCGGGGTATGTAGGGGCGTATGGAAGAGCCGATCCGGCGCCTCCGCCGCCCAAGCGTCCTAACCTTGGGCCGGGGCCTTCCGGAGGCCCCAGTGGTGGGGGGCCCCGCCAGGGAGGGGGGCAGTCCTCAACAGCTGGTCATGCAGCGGCGGGACCGCCCGGCGGAAGTGTCCTGTCTGCCGCAGCAGCAGCGGTGGCGTGCAGCCTGTGTGGCAAGCGGCCGATGAATAACGCGCACGAGGGTCCCTGCGGCCACCTGGCTTGCTACAACTGCTGGCTGGTGCAGCTGGCAGTGCATTTCAAGTGCAAGACGTGCGGCCGGTCCATGAGGCAGAAGAACCTCACAAAGAAGTACTTCATGTAGGTGATAGGGTTTGGGGGCAGCAGCCAGCAGGTGCGGGGGCCCCGGAATGAAAAAGGGGGGGGGCTGTAGAGGGAAGGGGTGTGTAGCTACGTGGTTATTCCTGTGGGCAGACTGCTAGCTTGGGCTTTGTGTTGTGCTGCGTTCTTTTCCTCGGGGCTTCTGTGTATAAACATGCCGTGGAGGTGGTTTCTGTAAGGAGGTGCTTTCGGTTGGGGACAGGGCGGGGTGGGACGCTGGAGGGGGGGTGTCGCCCTCTTTGCGGTGGCGGTTGGTCAAGCTCCAGAAACCTCTGCGGCGCGCAGCACGCAGGTGATGGTTGTGACCTCTGGCGGAGAGTGTCCATGAGCGCCAGGAATGAACCCCGCTTGTTGAGTGGTGGACGCGCAAGCAGGTGGGGGCTTCGCGTCGGTGTTGGAATGGGTCGTGGGGAAAGGGCCGGGGGGGTAACGGTGAGTGTTAAAACGCAGGAAGTAAGTTCCGCAGGGCCTGCGGCGGCAGTGTATGTGGGGGGGAAGGGCCCAATGGGCAGCGCCGCTGGAAAGGGCGGTCTACCCGTTGGTGGTGGTGGTGGGGGTGTAGTGCTGTAAATGTGTTCTGCGCCATGTAGCGGTGCAGGCGGCGAGGTGCAGGTCATCTGGAAAAATGGGTATCCTCGTTCGTGTACGGCTATGGGATACTGCGTTACAGATCAGTACAACAACGGAACCTCATGACCTCCGTCGTGAAGGTTTGTGTGGTGTGATTGATTTCGTTGGAAACGGATCGCACGTGATGGTTTCATGTACATGTGGTATCAAGCCGTGGCATGCCATGGGTGGGAGCTGTGCGGGCTTACCGTTAGGGTCATGGCGTTCTCGAAGGCACCAGCCTCGGTGCCGTGTATCGTATTGGTTGTGAGCGCGGCGAGCTGCCAGCTTCAGGCATACGGATAGACCGTATACAGCCACACCTGGAGGCTGCGGACGATAACTCTGGCTCATGGCTTCTCGCCATGCTGCCTGCCGTGAAGCAGGGGGGCATTTACAACGGGAAAGAACATTACGTTAATTTGTCAAAACGCTAACCTAAGATGAGAGTTTTGTGGACCACATACACCAACGCAGTACAAATTTTGAAAGGTACAATCCCAAACGAGACACCCCTGTCGAGGGCACTACTACTACTGCTGCTGTGTTACAAGTTCCACAGGTACGTGTGCGGGGGTCGTCCGTAAAAGCCGAGCGTGGCCATGGACGTCCATGTCCCGTCGAGTCCAGTGCGTTTGTCGGTCTGCGGGGTAAGTCCAGGAACTCCAGGTCAGCTATCCGTCTGTGAACCTGTGACCGCCACCCGCGCGGCACCTTTGGTAACATGTAAACCGAGTTGTGGAGTGGAGCACTATTCGAGTAGTAGTACAGTAAGTGCTCTTCCGTGAGTGTTGATAAAATTATTAAACCTTGCTACCACTGTTGTTACCGTGAATATAATCAGGCGCTAATCGATCAACGGGTCACGCTATAAGCCAGGTATGAACATAGACGGTATCCCCGCCCTGCCCAGAAAGCTTGTATGGAACATAATACACAGGAAGGTGTGGTGTAATGAATGGCCCAGCAGCAACCCGGTGGTCAGTCGCCCGCCCACCCACCCAATGGAGGCAACGGCACGCCAATGCCTTGGCATGGCAGCACGTATAAGCTGCGAAGGTTGATCAGGTACTCGAATGTGCCCTCGTCAAAACTTGAGTTGATCCCCGACCAGCCCCTTGCGACCCCGCGGAGTGAGGCCCCCACCGGCAAGCTCACCAGTAAAAGGCTACTCGTCGTCTTCATGACATCAGCTGCTGCAACGGCCCACCCACTCCGCCTATTCAGATCCGTCCAACGGTGCAACTTTCCAAAAATGCAAACGGTTAAGAGTTGGTCAGCCGTAATCCTAATTAATCTACCGCTGCTGAGATGATTTTTCATATTCCCGGAACTGGTGTTGCCAAGGCAGGCCGTGTGCGGCCCGCCTGCCCAAGCATCGCGGTACGTACCGACCACACGGACAGCAGGCGACTGCGGCATCGGTTTTTATGCCTTACGGGAGAACCGCACGGGAGGGCGTGGTGAAACCCCGCGCTGAAGGAGTGCTAGTCCCTGTATATGTGATGTATATGTGTCTGCTCCTCACTGCTGCTGCTGGGCTGCTGGACCTCTTGTGCGAGCCATGGCTTTTTCTCGGTTTTGCATTGGGGTTCCCTCTGAAATGTCTGTTGTGGTTTCGGGCATGGATTGTTCATGTGCAGTGCACAGCCCCTGGCTCGGTACTGCACGGCACGGCATCTGGCTGAATCTGGTTACCAATGGAATGTGGGCAACGTCCAGGAGGAGGATGCGGTTCAGGACTTCGGCGGGATATCTACAAACGAAGCGGTGACTCGTGGGGCTCGTGAGGTTCAGACGCGATGGAAGTGCGGGTGGGGTCATCTAAGGGTGAGGAGGTAACGTATGACGTCTCAGGCGGTATGCGTGATCTAGGCAGCTGCCTGCAGGTTGCCCGCCATAGCCGTCAACGCACGTCCTCCCGACCATTCCGCCGCTTGTCGCACTTAGCTGTTGGCCTTCCGTTTCCATAATCTCGTTATGTGCGTGGCCACGCACAGGCCGGCTTTTGTAAATATGGTAAATGTAATAAATTAATGAAATGAACAGAAGATGTTACTGCGGATTCGACTGGAAATACGAACGCAAAGCAGCCACGGGGTTGTACGAAGCCTTTTTTGAGGATTGGGAGTCCGACCTCTCTCGAGTCGGACGCCTGCCTGAGAGAAGCGCAGGTGTGTTAAGGTGTGGAAGAGCCGACTGACTCCATGGACGGTTTGGAGTTGGTAACACCCGTATCGTGAGTATGCGAGCGTAAGAGTTGGTGTAAAGCTGATTACCTTAACTTCCTGGATGCCGCTCCTTGAATCAACTTTTTCGTGTATTACATGTCGCGTCTTTGCCCATAGCGCTAAAAGAGTCTGAACCACCAGATGCCAGCATCGCAAATGGCCGAGTTTTCGCGGAAAAGAAGGGACAGATCCATGATAGGAAATCGGAGCGGGTCCCCGCCGCCTCCCCCGACACGACGGAAGCCTGCTTAGGACATTCTGCCAACTGGCGATCAAACACACTTTACTAACTGATCGCAACCTGTTGGATTTCTGTACGTTGATGTTATGCTGGGAACAAGCGCATCTAAATTAGCAGGCACTGCGACGTAAAAAATGGCAGATGTATGAACGGTGCACCTCAACAGGCAGTTCGTTGATAGGCAAATCACATCACGCATGGATGAGGTAATTACGATGCGCTTGGGTTGCGCCCGCCAAACGATTGTTGCTCCGTGCTTACGACGCTACTGATGTTCTTTTCTGACTACGTATGTTTGACTACAGGATTATATATTATCATTTAGTTCCAGCTTAATAGTCTAGTTTGAAACAGGGAAGTGGTAGCAGTATCCATATGTTACCTTTCCGAATGATTCCCGGACGTTCGGTGGTCGCTCTGGCGGCGCTTCTAGGCTTGTTAGCCGTCCATGTAAATGCAGGTAATCATCATTATGATGTATGGGACCTGGGGTGGCAGCATGTCTTTATTCCGTGCGCTGTTGCGCTTGGTTGCAGTTCTGCGGAAAATGAGTACTTTGTGCGTCATTGGCACCCGAATATGACTAAATTACAGCAAATTTAATGAATGATATGGAAACGTGTCATGCACTTAATGTCTGCAGGCTCACTTAACTGCACCGCAGTAATGTTCCTGAGGAGCAACTACGGCGGCGAGACCTTCACAATTTCCTTAGCACCCCAGGGTCAAACAGGCAAAACTGTGATTCCAGATCTCGCTGCTTTACCGAAGGTAAGGGAAATGGCCTTTGAGAAAAAGGTTGACCAACATGTGATGGCAAGAGGCTGTCCCAGGCCGCCCTGGCCCGGCACAAAGCAAAGTAGGCTTCCCTAGGGCCACACATATGCGCTATCACACCCCCTGGGCAATTGATCACATAATGGACATGGCAATTCACCGCTCGAACATCATTTTGCCCTGCCTTCCCCACGCTGACCGACCGCCCTGGTACCGTACGTGGCCCCTTCCTTCCCTTCCTCCCCTTCCCCCCAGCCCGCAACGTATCGCTCCTGGGACGACTCCATCAACTCGGCCCTTCTCGAGTGCGTCTGCACCGGTTCAGACTGCTCAATCGACTACGCGTGAGTCACAAGAATCAGCACCGCGATCGCCGTTATGACCGCAACACGCAAATTTGCTTTCAGAATAGTTTTACTCCCTAACCAACCAGACTGCAGAAACGGAGCTTTTGGTAGTTGTAAGGACGGATCCCTCTAATGGAAGCGGCTCCTCGCCTTTTCCTATCCACAGGCAGGTGACTTTGCGCCTGTTTGCGGAGCCTTACTGGCGGAAGAACGGTGGGGGGGACAAGATCGACGTGCGGTGCGCGGGAATGCCCAACATGCCCAGTTGCGCGGGGCTTCTTCCGGTCATGCCAAAGGGCTGGGGATCCCGAACAAGTGCTGTGGCGCTGCTGTACAACCTGACGAGCTATGTGCTTCCCGTCAAACTCCCCAGTAAGTGGGTAGCGGGGTGATGGGGGCGATCTGGGGGCTGGTTGGGGTTGGGCTTGGCTTGGAAATGGCACCTTAGGAGGCCCAGTACGTTCGTTCCCAGTGGGGTTGTGTGTGCGAGGTAGCTGGAGGTGCACGAGGCAATGGCAAATTGCCGTGTTAAGTGCTGTTTTGGGGTGCTCATGAGACGGTTGCATTCAAGTTCGCGTCGTGCACTTTGGAGAGAGGCGGACACCGACACGCTGCAGGGCGAGCTGGGCTTGATTGCTGGTCGCTGAACCACCACAGACCACACATTTACGTCAGCTATACACACAGACACACGCGGTGCGGGAGCTACATTGGGTGTACGGCACTGACCGGGAGGAAAGTGCATTCCCTGGTTCACACACGCGATTAACTCTTGACCAATCCCCCTCCCTCCCTGCACCACCATTCCAATCCCAAAATAGGCTCTCCCCCTCCGGCAACGCAGCCCAGCCCCAGCCCCAGTCCCAGCTCCAGCCCAACCCCAACCCCAAGCCCCAGTCCCAGCTCTAGCCCAAGCCCAAGTCAAAGCCCAAGCCCTAGGTCGTCGCCCTCACCGACGCCCTCGCCACGCTCGCTGAAGCCACCGTCCCCTACAAAGCCAGCCACCAGGAGCCCCCCTCCTAGGGCATAGATCCCTGCTCCATGGACAATCTACTCGGGGTAGTCCAGGACCACTCCCACGACTGATGGGAGGAAAGGTTACTTGCAGGGGCCCCGATGTAGGACCCGCTCGCCCCACTCACTACCGCTACGGGCGCCAGAAGGGGCTCAGGGGATGGAACACCTCGTGCGGGGCTTTCTCCATCACCCAGCCGGTGGCATTGGCAGCTGCGGCTTTTGTGCGGCTTACGCTCGGAATGCGTATAGCGGACGGACAGGATATTATATATCTAAACGTATTGTGTATATTGCACTATGCTAGGCTTCGGAGGCGTTGCAGGCCCTGATTTACCCCTTACGGTGGGGCACCCAGCATGAGCTTTACACCCATCTCCGAATGGATGGGCTTCATAGCAGGACTAGCAGCCAGTCATGCAGACCGCTCGCAGCAACCATTTTGCCATGTGTTGAGATGGTTGGGACGAGTGGCAGGCAAAGCAGGTAGACCTCCAGCACGGCATATGTAAGTTTGTGTTTGGAGGCGCCGCCGTACCGGTTCCTTACCATTATTTGTGTAGAAACAGCTAGGGGTGAAGCCGTTGGCGCTTGCGACGGTGCTGCTAGAGCTGGATTGCTTGTCGCAATCCTTGCCGGGTGAGAAGCACGGTTGCAGCGCAACAATACGAAGCACCTGGTCGGCGCTTTTGGCGTGTTCGGTCGGTGAATTGTAATGTGTTGCACTACTGCTCTAAGACGATTCCGCAACAGCTTTCGCCAGCTGCTGCGCCGGAGCTCCACACAGAGCAGACTCAGCACCCCGCCCGTGCATCGACCCCGTGTTCGCCACTGCTACCTGCCAAGGCCACCCTCACGCCGGTGGGTGTGCACACACGCGGCCCCGTGACCCCACAGCACCACCGCCACCTCTGCCAGGCATGGCAGAGGGTTACGAGAGGCCAGGAGATGTGTCCCAGGGTGGGGCACCGGGATGCGGATGACGAAAGTATCGGAGGGGGATGAGGGGTGTTTGTGTGTGTGTTACATGGTCGTGTGGTGTGGTCCCCGTACCTGCCAACCGCCCAGTATGAGCCGAGGGCTCAAGGGCTGCCAAATCGCCTATAAGTAGGGTTGTTCCTGACATTAGAATGTTTTCCGTTCTAATCTAATTCTAATATTAGTTCTAATTAGAAATTAGGATCTAATATTAGAAGACGCTCGACAACTTTTCAGGGAGGGGTCCGTTGAACCTGAAATTTTGTATAGGCCATCACAGATGTAACCGCACGCATTTCCAATTAAATTTACTCCGGTCGGGTGCCTGGGGAGGGTACCTACCAGCCAAACCCACGCCAGACTTGCTATGGAAACAACCAAGAACGCCGCCAAACCTGTCCTTTTAAGTCCCTACTTGCACAGAATCACCACATAACTGCCGGGGGAGTGTTTGCTCGCTAAGGGGAATGCAAAAACACAGAGAGGAAGGGCTAATCTGGTGCCTGCTAGCCAAACCCACGCCAGACCGCTGCGGAAACAACCAAGAACGCCGCTAAACCTGTCCATTTACGTCCCTATTTGCACAAAATCACCACATCACTGCCGGGGAGTGCTTGCTCGCTAAGGGGAATGCAAAAACGCACCTCTATCTGACATTTTCGTGTAAAATGCACGCAGTAGAACCGCTGATGCGCCTTAAAGCTACGGCTTTCCGGCCGTTCTAATGTCCGTACGACATTAGGATGTTCTAATACGTTCTAAACGGGGTCTTCTAAAATTCTTATTAGATTCTAATTATATTTTTTCTAATATTAGTTCTAATGTTCTAATGCCGGCACAACCCTATCCATACGTCGTGCCCTAGATAATCCAGGAAACGGAGGACTAGCGAACCCCATCCGCCCCCTTCGGAGTTGGAGAGAACCTCTACGATCTCCTGTTGCAAAACTTGGTGTGCAACAAACCCACGATGCAAACGGACACGGTTCCAAAACCTCACAATCTGCTAGAAAACGGGGTAGTGTAGTGGTAGCCGTGACAATTCAGTGAACGGGTGGCGGTGTGCTGGTCTAGCAGCTCTCACAATTTGGCGCATGAACTACACCTGAAGCTGCACCGCTCCATCCTTCAGACATGCCTCAAAAGGCTCCTCTGCACGGTTACTAGTATCACTCCGCCTCCTGAACCTGTCCAAGACTTCAGCTAGCATAAACGGGCCCCGCACTTAACAACCGTACAACAGTGTGGCTCGTACCTGCGTATCAAAACACACGAGGATGTGACTCCCTGCCTTGGGTGACTCACTGCCTTGGGCCGCGGGGGCCTTACAGTACCCCCAGCATGCGGGTGGGTTGCGCCGGGTGATGATGATGCATCCGATTGCATGCGTGAGCGACCCTCACCCTTAGGATGTAAGGATAAGGGCCCAACAGCCTAACGATGTTGACAGCAGAGGAGGTAAGTGCTGGTGTGTGCCTCCACTCCTCATCGGCACAGTGCTGATGGATTGCGCGGCCTGTCTTTCACGACAGCAAGATTCAGCAAGGAGGCTTCTTGAGTCGCTGGGCACTACTGTGTCCTCTGCGAGCCCACCTGCCAATCTTTCGACCGGCGGGAGGCACTGGGTCATGGAGATCGTCCAGGTACGCAACGTTTTCTTGCCTGTGCTTAATTGGAAGAGCATGCTTAACCCGCTTGAGCTTGGGTAAGGTAGGGGCGAAATGCCACCGGATATGCTTACAACCCTATGGCACTGATTGGGTCGGCAACCCCTGGGTAAACTACCCTCAACCCCTGGTCCTCGACGATGGCCTTGACCTTGGGCCCGGTTTTGGAGGATGTGCGGAGGTTGCAGCGGTTGATGTGGGGTGCTCGTTGTGCAGGACAGATTCGCACGAGTGCAACGTCCACCTTAGTGGCCGCAGCCCAGAGCAGGGGCAGGGTCTGATGCAACGCCTTAAAGAAAATGAGAAGAAAGAGTTCTGAACAAAACCTAAGAACTTAATTATCATCCGTAAGTGCTGCCGGATCGAGTCCAGGCAAGGGTGCCTTCAGGGGTTGCGCATCCATTTTAATCGAGGGTTTGGCACCACTGGTAAGGCGCGACCATTGCCCCTGGGAGATCCCGGGATCGGTACCCGTTAGGGTCAAAAGTCTTTCCGATGGTGGAAGGCATTGCGCCCCTAGTTGATGGACTTTGACTGTCCATAAACGTCGTGAGCACACGAAGGCAAAGTTATATATAGTATGTATGTATGTTGTTACAGGGTGGTTAACTTCGCCAGCGGCCCCCCCGGGGCAGTCCCTGCTCTCCCCTGCTAGAGGGGCACCCTAATCCGTCACCCCATCCGACTTCAGAATGTATTCGTTGGGTTCGGCAACTCACCACCAGCATCCAACCAAATCTAGCGGATCAACGGCGCATCAACTTAGTTCCTGTATGTATAGTCTTCCATTAGATAACTATCTCACATGGTATGTACAAATATGTACCCTTATGTACACTGTCGGCACCATCAACACCGCTGCATTGCACCAGCCGCCGACCAGTTGCTGGCTAGGCCTCTGCACCACATCAGAAGCTAGTCGTTCATGTGGTACCACCCCTTGATCACGCCACTTCTTCACCGCCACGTCGAAGCGTAACGTGCGCAGGTCGTACAGCTCCTGTGTGAACATCCTGACGCAGAGCGCCAGGTGCTCGTCCAGGCGGTTGCGGACCTTGCTCTGCACGAAGTTCATGGCCGAAAACCGGCGCTCGTCCTCCACCGACCCCGGCACCATCACGAACACGAGCTTGGCCAAAGCCACGCACTCCTTTAGGCTCTCCGCATGGACAGGGGCGTTCTCCAGCTGCTTCCAAAGCTGGATGGTGGGGCTCTCCTCCTGCTCCTCACGTAGCTTTCACTGCACGACCTTGCTGCCAGCAGCCGCCCGCTCCGTCGCAAGCTGCTCACGCAGCTTGGCGGTCTGCCCCCGAATCCGGGCCAGTCGCTGCTTGGTTGCCAAGGCCCGCATGAGCTGCTCGAACTCTGTGGCCTTGGCATCCAATGCCGCGATGTTGAGCTTTGGCGGCACTTTAATCCCGTCGTCCAGCTCGCACTCCTTGCCGTAGTGGGTCTTGATCACCTTCAGCTTTGACCGGAAGTCTGCTGCTGTCGGCCTGGCCTCCCAGTACTCGCTGTAGAGGATTTGGAAGGCGTCCATCAGGGCCGTGGGGGGGAAGCGGGCCTCCAGCTCGTCGGCCAGCACCTGCACTGCGGCAGTGTTTTTTGGAGAGCTCGTGGCTTTTTAGCGTGGCCTGCCTGGCATCCATCGTGACGTCTCGCCGCCGGCTGAGGGAGCAGGGACCGCACCGGAAACGGTCGTGCACCTCGCCAGCCTCCACATCTGGCGCAACACACTCAGCCCATTCGAACAAAGCTGTCCAGTGCGCCTGGAAGCGATGCACTCCCTCGTTCTCCCGCCAGCTCCCATCGCTTTGGCCTTTCAGCACACGCTGTGTTTGCTGGCGCCGCGCCTGCTTTTGAATCACCAGCGGCGCGTGCTGCGAAGCACCCGCCCTTGAAGGTGGCGGTGGTGCCGTTGCGACATCTTGGGGCGGTGGCCCTTCCTCGACAGAATCAAGCTGGTCAGCATCTGAGTCGCTGATTGCTGCAGTTGTGCGTGGCCGCTTCGCTGGGGGATCCTCAACTTCGCTCAAATCGCTGGCTTCACTGACTTCAAGAGCGCAAGGAGGCCCGACTACGGTGTCTTCAGGAACTGCGGCATGCCTATCCTTGTCTTCTGTATTATCTAATTCTTCTTCTAAGTGTTTGAGGCATTGCGTCTGCGGAGTTTCTGAGCCGTTTGCTTTGGTCAAGAATGAACGAATGCCCCGTTGACCTAAGTTGAATGCAACAGCGGGCCGTCTCATGGTGATATCATCAAAGAGGGGGGTCCTTGTGAAGCAGCTGCCCGCGTTTCTAAAGTCCGTATGGTGTTGGAATATAAGTTGCCCAAGTACTTTTGCGAGGAACAGAATGGGGCCAGGCTGGCCAGGCGTTTGCATAATGGAATGTGAGATGAGTCGAAGCTGTTTCCAGGGCGTTTGGCGCACGGCGCAATGTATATGCAGTCATGTCGTCGCGCGCGCGTATGCAAGAACAACAGGAACCACAATTAGAAGAACAAGAACAGCCCCACAGGAACAGCGCGTGCACAGGCGACGTCGCGTCGGTGAATGCTATGATGTAGGAACGAAGAAGAATGCCTAGGTTCAAGTTCCCTGTCGCGCGTGGATGGCCATGCCAGAACAGGCAACATGATGGGTGAACTTGCACGCTACCAACTTGCCCCCGATGACACGACGGGGCGACATAGAAAGGAGCGCAGCGGGCCCCCCCCTATCCCCGAACGCTCACGCAATAGACCATCCCAAGCGCTGCTGTCCGTATGGGCAGCAGCAGCCGTTCACACACGAGTTAAGGTCGGACATGTATGCACCGTGACTGACACCCTAAGTGCGACCGTGCCCAAATTCAACAGCACCGCCCAATGTCCAGAAGCCTAGCGCCGAAATTGTGGGACCCTATCCGTCAAGCGTTAAGTGTCCAGTTGCTGTGTGGGCTAGGCAAGCGTGGCAGGGGCGTCATCGTCTTGGACTGTGACGGCGGTGGGCATGTGGGCGCTGCCGGCGCGTCGCCGGCTCATCATGTAGAAGGCTGGGCTGGCGGAAGGCGGCCCGCGCAGCACATTGTAGCCGCCCGGCCCCCGAGCCTTGAACTGCGCGATGTAGAGGGCCTCCATCTTTTGGGCCAGAGCAGGATTGGCGGTGGACATGAGGCGCGTGAGGGTGAAGTGGTCTCGGAAGGGTTGGTAGTGGCGGGCGTCGTCCTTCATCCGGCTGGGTGGGTTGCGGGCATGAGCTTGGAAGCGCCGTTGAGGGTCCCGGGACTGGCCGACGTACACCCTGCCGGTCGGTGCGCACGTGATGGTATATAGTCACGTGCGGGCGGGGGCACTGGAAAGTGGCTCGGGGGGGCTGGTTGTGGCTCGCTTGGCTGGCATGGTGGTGGCCAGGAGGGCGCCCGACGCTCGCGCCTGCTGCGCGGCCGTCAGCACCGAGAGCGCGAAGTCTTGGTCCGCCTTGAGGACGTGCCCGCGTCCATGCCGTAATCATAGATCAGCGCAATGGCGGTATCCGCCCGCAGGCTGCCGGCAGCCGCGATCCACAGCTGCATGATTGTGGCGTGCGTGGCCGTCGCTTTGTCCGGCATGTCGCCCTCGTGTATTTCTGCCGTCACGTTGTACAAGAACGCTGCACGGGCATGGAGGGAGGGAGGGTGGATGTGAGGTTGGCGGGATGGCGGGGCGGAAGTGGAGGCATGCAGGGGCGGGGCGTGACAGATAAGGATGCTGTGGCCACATGGCCGGGCAGTTGGAAAGCGGGCACGGGGGACGGCAGCTGGCGCAAGCGAGCAATGGGCAGCAAGGTAGGATGTCTTACTGCTGGCGGGCTTGGCGCCGTGCTGCGCCTGGAAGTCGTCCCTGTACTTTCGGCCCTCGGCCAGGAGCACGTTAAACTCAGTGTTGGTGTGGGTTGCGTGCAGGACGTCCTCATCGTGACATCCCATGCTTCCCAAGAGCAGTTGCTGCCTGACGGTTCGAGGGGCAGCAGCAGGGCGTGTCAAGATGGTGGATGCATGGGACAGCCAGAGAGGCGCGTGGGTGCGCAGCAGGGACGGCATGCGTTCTGTTCGGTAGGGTGCGGCACGGCAAGGCGGCTACTAGTACCGGAAGATGAGGCGCTTACTTGAAGGTGAGCGGCCGTTTCGGCACCCCGGCCGGCGAGGAGCGATCGCGGCCTCCGCCGGTTGGCGATGCTGCTGCTAACTGCGCCCACAGGTCAGCTATGTTGATGGGCGGCTTGGCTGCGGCGCCGGCAGAAGAGCCCGACGGCAGGCTCGGCGAAGGCGTGCCGTAAGCGCCCAAGTTGACGGGCGAAAGGGTCTGAGGTGGGACTTGTGATTGGCGTGCCATTTTCGGAGGGCTTGCTGCTGATGGATCGCTCCGTCGGCGTGCTGTACGTGATACCACCAGGTGTGGCTGCACAACACCGAAGCAGCTCACGGGCTGGCAGAAGCCGGGGGTCAAGCCGCTGTCTGACATGTGTTAGTCTGACATTGTCTGTCAAAGTCTGAGGGTGAACTTAAACTCCGACAGAGTGTGCTAAAGTCTGACTTGTGTTGTGCCCTTGATGCTGTGATGTGCAGGTTGCACTGACGCGGGACGTCGTCTTCAGGTGCAGGTGTGCCTGCACCCGTATTTTTCAACATTTAACGTTTTGAACAGCTTCGACATGTGCGCCTTTAAAGTGGCGGCGCTGCCGTCCGGAGCAATCGTGGCCCATCCACGGTAAGTGCGGTGCGGGGGCAAGGGTTGGCAGGGCAGACAAGGGGCATGTGTGGGAAAAGGTAAGGTGATGTGTGCGCTATAGGCTGAGTAGGCACATGTGGCACGTCCTGAACGTGTGCTGAGACCGTGGCTGCTGTGCTGTTCATGTTGCCAGGTTTGTGTACGGCTGCACACATGGATGGGTGCAGATGGTGCTGCCGTGCCATCATCAAGCAGCAACCGGTGCGTGAATTGCCAAGTACTGGTCGCGCGGGTGGCTGTACGAGCCATTTGACGACGCCGATGAGGGCCAACTGCACCAGCCTGCTGGGGCGACGGAGTTGAGCATGGGCGGCAATGTCGTGGTCGTTCGTCCCACAGCCTGTTCGACTTCGGACCTGCTCCAGGTCGCTCTACCGCTGATGACATTGTGGGAGGCAGCTTCCGATGCAGAATGGCGTCGTGGCAACGTGGCCATGAACGTGGTGCATGCCATGACGGGAGCCATGATGCAGCTGCCGCACGTGAAATGGTCGTACATGACGTTTAGGTGCACAGCGTGAGGGGCAGCCCGGCAGGATTTTGGAACTTCTGCCTCACACAGAAGGGCGGCAGAGAGCTGCAGAGAGGTAATGTGACGGAAACTACGTGTTATTCTGCTGTACTCTCCATGCCGGAATGCGGTGTTGGGCATGTGTGTGGCGGCATCCGAAACGTGCCGGTGTGTCCGGGGATGGGTAGACCTGCGGAATATGTTAGCTGCGCAGCAGCTGGGTGCCATGTAGTTGCCACTTAGGGCTTATTTTAGTGTTTAGGGACATGTAGTTGCCACTAGCGTTTTTGTGTGGCCAGCGCGGACGGGCAGCGGGTGCACCATGTGCGTCCATCGGCCAGGAAACACAGACAGGCATTGTGTGTTTGATAGTCGCGCATGGTGAAGGCGCAAACAGACCGAAGCTAGTGTGCGCGTGGAATGCATGAAGCGCTCTCGTGTGGGCAACGTGCTCGATGCGATGGCCGGCCTGTTGCAAGTTGCAGGGACATGGACGTTTGGCACGACGCCGATTATCAACAAAAAATTTAAGGAATCTATGGCATGAACTGGTGAATTGTTAGTGATTATGTGGACGCCGGTCGGCGTGGTACGGCGCCGAACATGAAGATTTGATCTGTGGGCGTAGTGGGGAACGGCTCATAATAGGGGCGCGTCATATTGAAAGGGACCATGATGCGAAGGCGTTGCAAGGATTCGAGCGACCCTGTAAGCGTTAGTGTTCTGCAAGGCAATGACTGAATGTATGCTGTTCATCAAAGCTCGGATCGCCAACCACACCAGCCTTTGCCCATTGGCGACAGATTAGCACGGATTTCCACAAACAGCAGCATCTGTCGGTTGGCATCATAGTTGCACGAAGCTGGCAGCGAACTTGTGCAGCAGCGCGCCAAAGAGGTGATGGCCCGGCGTTGGGCCAGCGCGGCACTGACAGAGCTGCGGCCTCACTTAGATGGCAATGAGGATTTTGAAGCTCAGCTACCAGCGGGTAGTTCAGCGGCAGGCTGCAAGTCGCTTGGCGACCAAGTGCGGCGTGACTTTTATCCGCACTTGAGGGCCGCTGCCGCCCCGGCCCGGGGCTGCCTGTTGTTTGTCTGCGACTGTGATGCCGGACAGTTGTCAGGCGGCCACGCGTGCACAGGGCGGCTGGAGTTGGATTGGCAGGGGTGCAAGGTTGTCGCATCAGCGCACTTGTGCAGCTGTGCAGCAAAGATCAGGTCAGGACCTGCATGTCCATTTGGAGGGTGCTGGCACTGTGCTGCTGCAACCAATGCCCAGTGCCGGACTAGAGGAAAGATGATGTGCCTCATCTATGCAGGCCCAACACCCGAGTGGCTGCCGGTGTGCAAGTGGACCGTCCGCCGGGGTGCGCCTCTGCAGTGTCGGTGCCAGATGGGATCCTGTGGTCCGACCAGCCGAACTCGTCACTGCCTGCCAGCATGACGGACGTGCGGGGCTTGAGAGCTGCTGGATGTGCTGCAGGTGGAGCTGGATGCTGCCAAAACACGGGTGATGGTCACACCGGTGCTGGGCCGAGTGCCAGTTAAGCAGGGCGACCTGGCAGCTGTGCAAGTCTGGCTGCACGACATCACGGGGCCCACTCCGGTGGTGGTGTGCAGCACCGCCCCTCAGCTCAAGCGGGCTGCGGAGGTGGTGATGGGCGAGGTGCAAGCGGGGGTGCCCAAACAGTACCCTCTTC